CCTGCCCGGAAGGGGTGCTGGTTTCCACCCCAGGCCCCGCCGTCCAGGGAGTGTCCACTCCTGCCGCCACCTGTGAGCACTGCTGCTCTCCCGGGGGGGACAGAAGCCACGTGCCCAGGGGGTGAGGGGCAGTCCCCTCCCCCCCGCCCCGCCTCCCAGGAGGGCGGCTTCGCTTAGGGTCTGGCGGGGCCCACGCAGCCCCGCGAGGGTTCTGAAGCGGGTCTGCACCCCGACAACAAGAGCAGCCCCTCTGCCGGCTGCTGGCTCGGAAAGAATAACACTGATGAAGAAAGTTAATTACGTGAATTAAACGCAGCTTGCTTCTCTTTTTGAAGTACTTTTTTTTTTCATGCCTGGAGGAGGGTGATTTACAGACACATTTGTCTCTCTTTAGAGAAAATTAATTCCAGTTGGTGTTCCAGGCAGACATGGGGGGAAAGCGGTCCTTCCTTCCTCTTCGTGGCCCAGGCTGCCGGCCGCACTGGGCCCGGCTACGGCCTCGCCACGGTCACCCGCAGCCACCGGGAGGCTGGGTCCCTTCCCGCACGTGCGCGCCTCTCCAAAATGCCCAACACAACTTGGCAGCTCCACGGTTCTCTTAGAGGGGACGAAGGCCTTCTTTTAAAGACGACCTCCAGATACCAGAGGGACAGACAGCGCCACGTCCCAAAGCAGGCGAGCAGAGCTGTCTGAAGGCCCGGCTCCTGCCCCCATGCTTTAGGCCCTATGTTCTGGGGCCACAGTGCACGAATCCAGCTTTTCAACATGGATGGTAATAATGGGCATCATGTGCTGGGTACTCACCACAGCCAGCCACTCCGCTAAACATTGGAGGAGGATTATCTAATTAGACGCTCCAAACAACCCTACCAAGTAGATACTGTTATTACTTCCAGACTCCCTTACACAAAAGCCGGGGTGCTGAACAGCTGCTCCGGACCCTGCAGCGTCAGGCTGTCCCATCCATAGCACACAATGTCAGGGGCACTTAGGTCCAGGACACTTGCGCTGAGAAGCAGGAAACCCTTTTTTAGTTCACGGATTTATTTTCCAAGGATCATGCTACAAACCGAGCGGCATTCTTTGTTCAATCTCCCTAAAGAGGACGAGGAAATTAAGAGTTCAGAAGAGAGAGGATTTCCCCTTGTTGAAAAATCTATTGCAACTTGTTGTGTTTTTTTGGTGGCGGAGAGAGGAAGGGTGGGTGGTAATATATTAAAACTGCAATTGTACACAGATGCTTTAAGAGCACATCTAGGTAACTACAGTTGAATTTCTAGTAAAGCAAAATATCCCTGGAAGTGATCTAATTTACAGACCATCCTCTCTGATGATAAGATGAAAAGCAGAAGCCTAGAGACATTAAAGAACATGTTTAGAATCATCCAGAGAGAGGCAAAACCAGCAATGACTCTCAGGTCTCCTGATTATTTATCCAAAATGCCTTCCATTTATCCATTCTGCCTTTAAGCAGAAGACCAGATGGAACAAACCAGACTGCAGAAACACAGCTTTCTAATAATAATAAACCATCGAGGCATTATTTAGTGCTCTCCCTTCTAGAAGGAGACGTGCCCCCAGATTTGACGTATCCTGTGTAGTTCTTTATGAAGACGGTGCTGCCTGGCAACCACGTCTCTGCCCCAGGTCCGGCCTGCCCTCCCATCTTCCTTCATCACTCGGAAGGCACAGGTTTCCTTAAAAGTATTCATCCTGGCGGCAAGGGACGTAAAAGCAGAATGGCCCTTCCCTACACACGTTCGGAAATGACATGCGTGGAAACCACCGGGCAGACATGAAATAGACAAATTTTCCATCCGGGATTTGGCAGCTTGGCTGAAAGCTCAACATCTTGGTTAACAACATCACCCCATCATCTGCGAGACAAGGAATCACACACTAGGCCGACTGCTCTTCTGTAGGAGGGCACTGGGCGTTCTCCAAGGCTGCTACCAAAATGAAGGGGGGGTCTCTTCCTGCCCCTCCCCCCAACCTGCTTTGGAAGTAGTCTAAAAGGCAAAGAGTAGCAGGGAACTATTAGGAGAGATTCCAAATAATCACAACTGGGTAATGACTTAAAAAATGAACGGTCAGAATGTCCTTTCCAAACAGCGTGGACAGAGAAGAAAGCGAGCCGAGGAGAAGGGAGTCCCTCGTGCCGTCAACCTGCCATTCCCTTAGAGGACGAAAACTCTTTGCACTGTGACTGCCGTCGGTGGACTTCTGGGGCTGACGCCTGCCCAGAGCCCTTACGGCCCTTCTTCAGGTGCCATCACTTGGGCCCTCCCGTGGAGCCCACTTATCTCCCCGCTCCAGCCCTGCGGGTCAGAGGGCGAGGGCCCCCCCTCGAGCCCCCCCCTCTGGGCACTGGGCTGAGCCTCGGGTACCGCTCTGGCCAGTCTGTACATTCCACCCCCATCGCCAGGTACTAGTTCTAGAATGGCATCCAAATGGATCACATGAGATTCAGGAACATGGGTGGAATTGCTGGGAAAGAGAAGTTGAGCTGGTCGGCCAGACCAGAGCTCTGGAGTGGGGGGAGGGGCAAGGACAGGGGAAAGAACTTACCTGAGAATGAAACCACTGAACTGCAAAGCTAAGTGAACAGCTCAAGAGAGAATGAAAGACAAACTCCTGGTGACACTGAGTGCCCATATCCAGCCATACCTCATGGCACTCAACTCAGTCGGTCTTAGACCACTTCGAATAGGGTTCCTCGCCCTTGTGAGAAAAAGAACTGACAATATACCCCATTCACCCCCCCAGATCCGTCCGACCTGCTGCCGCCTCTGTGTGGCCTTTCAGATGGCCCCAGGCTGAGGCAGCTGCTGCAGGTTCCTGGGCCGCTTCGTAGCTACCCCCAAACTGCACTTTTCATTCTGTGCTGTGCTTGGATTGTTACTGTCAGCTGTAGGATGGAGTCGATGTCTTATTAATCATTAAATTTCCAATACTCATCCAATGCCTCAGACCCAGCAGACACTCAATATAGGTGTGTTGAATTGAATTTGATTCTAACTACTCTTTCACTGTGTCCTCCAATGATTTCCCATCACACTTAGGATGAAATCGAAACTCTACCGTGGGCAGCAGGGCCCTGCACGGTCTGCCTGCCCTTCCCATCTCGGCTCCGTCCACAGCAGCTCTGTGCTTCTCCTTGAGAACACCCAGCCTGTCCCCACCCCAGAGGCTTTTCATCTGCTGTTCTTCCTTCCGGGAAATGCCTTCTTCCAGATGCTACAGCCATCGCTCTACTACATCACTCGGGACTCTGCTCAATTGTCTCCTTATCAGAGAGCCTTTCTCTGGCCCTCTTATCCTAAACAGCACCTGCATCACTCCAACAAGAACCCTGCTGTATCCTTGTCATGACACTTGTCACTGCATGATGGCACAGTGCATAGTTATTTATTGACCATGTCTTCTCCTCTGGAATGTGTGGAGGCAGGGAATTTTTTCTGTCGTGTTCACAACTATATTCTTAGCATCTAGGAAGTTGTGTGTTCTCAAAATGCTGGCTGTGATACATTTTTGAAACAACCTTAAATTTAAATGGATGTAAAAAAGCAAACCCCAAAATTGAAACCAACATATGCAGGTGAACCTGTATATTCTGTTGTAACATAATTACCCTAAAAACAGAATCAATTCTATAACTTTTAAACACAGTACTTTGTTTTTAAACCTGTAGTAAAATAATAAGTCTAATGATAAAAATAATTACAGCAAAAAAAAAAAATTAATAGTAACTGGGAGGTTTATTGTAGCCATGGTACTGATGTAGTAATTGTGAAGCTGTTTTGCATATGTTGGATGATTGAACAGAAGAATAAATACACTGATGCTGTTGGAAACTTTGGTCCCCAATGTGAAAAAAAGGGTCACACATGTACAAAATAGGGCGGGGGAAGAAACTTGTGATGTTGAATTAGAATAATGGGATGGCTTTAAACAAAATGTTGTTTCCTAGCTCTGCCTGCAGACCGAGTCTAAAAGAAATTGCATCCCAGTAGTTATGAGCACGCTTAGTGCTCAGGTCTTGGTTTCTAAATGCCATTCCCCATTAAAAGGAACCAAGATTCCTTGAAAAAATGACTGATTCCAGGGCAGGGGCAGAGGACGCACAAGATAATCCTAGAAATGTATTTGTGTCCCAAAGCAAGGAAGTGTTCAAAGACTGCTGGAGACCTGTCAAAAGGACACAGGATCCAGACAGAGAGGGGTCCCACTGACCACATGTGGGCAATGTGAGCATCAAAAACAATAATGATAGCAATAAATTTTAACAATCAAACAGAAATCACAACCCATGAGTCCACAGTGATATTTTAAAATTAAAAACCAGAGAAGAATAGGAGTGAAAAATCTCTGTAGGAGACGGCAGGAAGTACCCACAGGAAAATAGATCAGACACATCTGGTATCTGCCAGATCTGACCATTGGAAAGGTACCTTTTTCCTTTTGGAATTAATAAGTAGTCTGAGAGCAGGTGAACACCTGTTCCCCTCAAGCTGTCGCCCAATGCTGCTTTTAGCATCCATTGACGATTTCTGTCTGAATGAGTTATTATACTGCAGGGGGGGGAGGGTACAATGGCATCACCAAAAATGTCACAAATGGACATCATCTATGTTGTGTTCTTGCCAAAACGTTTTCACTGAATCTAAGCATTGAGGAAAGAATCAGACAAATTCAGAAAATAGAACATTCCATAGAGCACATGGCCTAGACTCTTCAAAATGATCGCAATGAATGACAACAACATCAAAAAAGGCAGGGGACTGACTGAGCCATGAAGACCTGTTGTGACATATGAACGTTCATTGAGCCCTGGATTTAAAAAAAAAAACAATGTTATAAAGGACATTTGGGGGAATAATCGGAGGATGTTTAATATGGGCTGAATTAATGTGCGCGCGCATGTGTGTACACACATTCTGTATGAATAAAACCACGATATATTTCTTGGAAGAATACAAGAAAACATGACTTCGACTCACCTCTCCTGTGGCATAGAAGTCGTTCTTTTGGTACTCAGGAAACAGCTGGAAGAACTGAATTAGCGCGCTGCAGAAACAACAGGAATAAAAGTCTCAGGGAGTCGCAAAGCCTCCAGGCTGCCCGGTCTAAGCCTCGCACAGTCGGGGTCACGTTCGAGACCGATGCCAGTGTGGTATAAGCTCTGCAGGCACCGGTTTCAGCGTCGCATGAGCATAACCCTCCATACTGTGGAGGGTCGGAACATACTACACTTGCGGTCTTACTTTGTGATACTAAGCTGGGGCGAGTGGACGTCAACATTCTGGGCAGGTTTCCAAACCTCTGGGTTAGCAACGTGGATCGTCCACCTTGAGCCAAGTGATGCAGGCTTTCCCCTGTTATTTAGCAACCTTGGAGGCAGTTCTGCAACCTCTCGACCCCATTAACGGGGGTTTGTAGTGAGGTAATGGGCACCTTCATTGCTTTCCGACTCTCCGGGCGACCCTGAACATGCCGAATGGGGCTCCCAGAATTTCAGTGTCTTAATAACCAAGGCACAGAAAAAATGTGAAATGACCATATTTTACAGGAAACTACCAAAAGGCCACAGATATGGAAGAAAATGTACAATGGCCTCTAGGCTCAAAAAAAAATCTCATTTACTAAGGAATGCGAAGACCACTTGGGTGAGTTGTGCTGAAATCGACTGAAACAGACTCAAGGAAACAAAACCCTGTGAGACCCAGAGGCTCTGTGGATGTTTGCCCCCAGCCTGCGGTGCCTGAGGGCCAGGCAGGGTTTGGTCCCAGCTTCCTGCTGAGGGCCTTACAGCCAGGAACCACCCAGGAAAGACGAAAGGCAAGGAGGCCCTGCAAAATCAGAAGGGGGAGAAAGTTCAAGGGTCACAAAGAGGCAAAACTGGGTCATCACAGTCACCATGATCCTGGCCCTACTTCATTTTCAAAGGTTCCATAAAATTCCACTATTAAACGCTACTGTAGTGTTTCAGTGTATTTCTTTATTAATCATTAATAGTAATGAAAATCTTTGTATCAGCTAAATCTGGGAAGCTGCATTATATAGCTTCCAAGTTAGTGTTGACAATAAGCCAGCTTTGAAGCAGAGATAAAAATAGGAGTTTAACCTCCACCCTTCCCTCTCTAACCTTTAGGCTAAAAATTGACTTCTGTTCGCTCTTCCTGCTAATTGGAAAGGCAATGGATAATGTAATATAGTCAAGTTCAGCTTGGCCATCTGCCTTAGCTTAAAGCCCAGGCGCTTGGACAATTTGTTGGAGAGTTGTTAGGGCTGTCAGATTTAGTGAGTAAAAGGCCCTGCAAAATCAGGCGCCCAATTACATTAGACGTTTTGAGAAGCAGCAAATAATGGTTTAGCATAAGTATGTCCCAAATATTGCATGGGCCATACTTTAAGATTTAAAAAAATTATTCACTGTTTATCTGAAATTCAAATGTAACTGGGTTTTACTTTATTCCGTACTTTAGCTCAGTTGCTTGTAGCTCAAAGGATGCCAGGAACCTCTAGCTGACCCGTCCAAAGCGAGGCCCCACGGGGGAAGTTATCATCGAGTTTTGTTTTGTTTTATCCTCACCCGAGGACAATTTTTTTTTTTTTTTTTGCATTTATCTTCAGATAGAACAGGAGGGAGAGAGAGAGGAAGAGAGAGAGAGAAACATCATTGTGAGACACATTGAGTGGTTGCCACCCACACAACCCCAACTGGGGCCGGGGACAAACTGCAACCGAGGTACGTGCCCTTAATGGGTACGTGCCCTTAATGGGTCTCTCTGGTCCACGGGCCAACGCTCTAACCGCTGAGCCAAACTGGCCATGGCTATCATCAAGTTTTACCTTCACAATAAAATCAGAACAATGACAACCAAATAATAATAATAATAATAGCAAGCCCTTAGTAGGTCCTTCCTAAATGGGAGTGAAAAATAAAAAAAAGGTGAATTCACTGAGTTAGATTTACATATGCCATTTGCTCATGTAACTGTGTTTTAGTCAAGGGCTCTTCTTCTTATTACATGATGAAGGTTTGCCTAAAAATATAATCTAGAATTATGGCTACATAAAATTTCACATTTTAGAAGCAGAATTGCTAAAATATATGATGTCCCAAAAAATGTACACCCCACTTTGCATAATTATAAAGCTAGTGTTTATTAAAATACATTTCATTTTCAAAATGTAATAGAATCTACTGACATCCTGTATATATATATATATTTTGGGACACCCTGTATACACACATAATGTACACGCATGTGTGTGTGCATGAGTGTGCACTCCATGCGTGTGTTCAGGTACCAGGAAGCATGCCTCTTCCAGGCTATTCCACTTGCTGGCTTTGAGCCAAGCCTTTCTCCAATAATTAGAATTTAAGTCAAAAGCTACCTGGTGGTGGAAAGGTGTATTAGAAGACAACAGGATGAAACAGAACTCGTAAGAGAGAATGACTGGAATAAAAGTACTTCTCAGACCCAAAAAAGGACGATGGAGGGTGTGTGATGATAATGGTCTAGAGACCGGAAGACAGCACTAACGGGTCAGAGGCATGATACATACAAGATGTTCAGGAGGGTTGAGGTTAAAATAATGTAAACAAAAGCTCCATAACAACAAAGGCCAAACAAGGAGCATCTTCAGCTGCTGGAAGTTTGACCAAAACCACCTCAGCAACAAGAAACTTGGTGGTTTTGTTTTGTTGCCATAGACAGGGTCCACCCTCCCCATTCATCCACCCCCCTCTGGTGGGGCTGGGCCGGGCTCTTCTCCAGGCCGTGAGCATCAGGCCATGTTCTCATGCAGTACAGGAAACCTGTTTCATGGTCACGTTGCTGTGAAGCTTTGTGTAGCAGTAGATGTTATTCCCCATACACTCCAACATGTGGACTGAATGACAGTACCATTTCCCTCTGGCTGTACGAGTGCAGTGTCAGGCACCTCACAGGGGCAGGGGCTGTGGGCTTGCTTACTCTGTGTCCCCAGCACCAGGACCAGTGTCGGGCACAGAGCAGGCCATTGATAAACAGAGGCAGAAGGAGAGGAACGCCAGTTGGTATGCTCCAAATCAAAGTTACAAATTCATTATTCTTCAGTCAATTTATTATTTTTTTCTAAACCAGAGAGGCATTGTGGTTCAATAGCACAATTCAAGTATGAAAAAAGAAACAAGGGAGAAGAACATTTAAACATCTTTTAGTGAAAACGTCTCCTTTCCAAACACAGAAAAGCAGCCTGAATGGGAATGTCCCATCCCGTGCGGAGCCTCCTCACAGCCTGGCTGTTAACAGGCAAAGGAAATGGGACTTTCCGAAGAAAAGAAAGATGGTTTTCAAAGGAGGGAGAAGAAAGATTTACTCTTTAAACCTGCAGTAGCCCATTTACAGGTTTCAAAGAGACCTTTTTATTCCAACCACCCATCTGGAGAGCTGGAGAGAAGGGACGAATAGTGTAAACTGGAAAGGAAACAGCTGAAATCAGTTTACTGCACTACCCTTGATTAGCTATTTTCCAGTTCTAAGAGCCTGAAGCGAAAAGAACTCAAACAGCTATAAACAATGGAGGCTTTGAAATAGGTTCTCTTTACATGTCATGCTGGAGGAGATGGACCAGTGTCAGCAGTAATCTCCACATGGAGGGGCAACTGGGAGCTGAGACCATCCTGGGGGGAGGGGAAGGAGAGACAGAGAAGGAATGGCAGGGTTGTAACCCTCTGGCTTAGAGGGATTAATGTGTTTCTTTAATACAGAACCTCCGCCCTCAGGGTGTTTGCTAGTTAAACAACTAAACTGGTTTGGATTTAAACCAAAGAGAGCCCGCAGTCAATACTAAATGAGAAAGACATAGCGCTTGAGTACTTATAAGGACAGCCATGGGATTGTGTCTGTGCAGGGCGGGCGTGTGAGCCAGACGGGAGGAGGGGACCTCTGCAGGATGTCCAACCTGCTCCCGGGATCCACTGCACCTGGAAACATAAGTGAGGGGTCCTGGGCCTCCCCGCTGGAAACCGAATGGAAGTGTTCAAGGAACGGGGCACGTGGCAAATGGAGTGTTGACTACAACAGCCGTGTTCTTCTCTAAGGCAGAGGGCAGAGGAGAGAATGTGTCCGGGAGAAAGGTGGAGGGGTCCTGTTTCCTCTCCTCCCCAGCACCTGCCTGGGGCAGAGATGAAACACCTCTGACTCTGTGGGACGCACTTTCGCTTTTGTGAGTGCGGGGTGAGGTTGGGGGGAGAGGAGCTGGTTAACTCTGTCTGGCCACTAGTGTTCTTTTAGTAAACTGTTCTACAGTGGTGACCTGGTGACCTGGTGACTGGAGAGATCAGGACTTGGTCTCTCGGAATAATTTACAGGCTGGAAAAATGTGAACAAATAGGAAAGTTCATTTACTTTTTTTTTTTTTTTAAGTACTAAATATAGCTGTACTAATGTAGGGAAAAGAAAGGAAGAAATTATATATATACTGTTTGATCAGGCTTACAACTTTCCGTTTTCCTCCTTTTTTTTTTTTTTTAAGCAAAAGAATAATTTTGTAAGATGAAGGGAAGAAGGAAGAAACTAGCTAAGGAGCTCAGTTTTCTGCCTGAAAAGTCACAAGAGGAAGCAAGAGAATGGAAAACAGCATCTGAAAGCCACGAAAGGAGGAATTCTGGGGTGCGGGGCGGGGGGCAATCATCTGGGGAGATGCTGCTTCTTCCTGGCAAACGGAAGTTAAAGGGAGTGTTGGGCGGCGAGTAGGAATCTCTCGGGCCTCTGGTGGAAAGGCATGAGGGTCACCTTTGGTTGAATAATTCTGCTGTTTCCACGGTCTCTTAAAGGATATATTTTACCAAATTACAATTGTGCCTGAAGAGCTCAGCTCTCCTCATTACTTTCTCTGCTGGCCACTTCCACACTGATCAGTGATAATATAATGAAGTGGAAAATAGAGCGTGTGTGTGTGTGTGTGTGTGTGTGTGTGTGTGAATTCCTCATGTAGACATATTCTTAAAATGTCTTTAGGAGTTGGACTAGGAAGACCGGTCAGTAATATTTCTGCTACTGAAAGCATTTTCCAGCTGAAAGAGAAAAGGGTTCAGTCTGCAGAGGGCGAGAGAGAGCCAGGGCCTGTTACCTGAATAGATCTCGAGCCACATCGTCCTCACTGACTGCGTATCCCTTGGGGTCATCAGTGAAGCTGAAACCTGAGCCGACCTGAAGGTGAAAGAAGCAAGTAGGTATAAACACAGAGAAACACATCTCTGGGGCCCCACAGAGACACCGCACTGGACGGACATCGGCCAAGCCTCCGACCTGGGCTTTTTGCCACCGGCCATGTGCACTTACATCCTCACAAGAGGATTCGGCATTTCACCTACTTCCCCTCCCCCTCCCCCACCCGAAGCCCAAATAAAAAGCATCAGCACAAAACTCCACCCTAGGTCAGTGGCTGAGCTGTCCTGATTCCGCTCGGGGACCCTGCCTGATGTTGATTTAAGGATGAGGGATGAGGAAGTCACCTCTTCTTGGCTCTCGCTACAGTATCAAAAGACCCAAAGTTGTCTCTTCTCTGAAACCTGGAGGGTGTATTGCTGTCCTGCCAACAAGGAACTTTCTAGGCTGGAGATAACAGAGTGTGTGTGTGTGTGTGTGTGTTTTCATTTCCTTATTAGTGAAAAATGTGGCCACTGAGCCCTTTTACCTTCAGTAGACCAGAGGCTTTAAAACAATTCTGAATGGGTTTTCAACTGTTTTCTTACACCTAGAAGTTCATAGACAACTGAGTTGTAAATAAAAGAAGCTGCTTATTTTGCTCAAATAATTTGTATAAAGAAAGCACTATCCACCAGATATACATACCCAAACACCCAAGGGGACAGGACATTTAATTCAACTTCTATGTGAACACGCAGTTACAGACTAGGAAAGAGGACCGTTGACGGGGAAGAGCCGGGGCAAGATGCTGGGACTTTCTTCTCTCCCTACATACCTGTTTCTCTATGAACCATCTGGGAAGTGAGAGAAGTTAGAGAAATTAGGGGCCAAAAGTCTGAAGCAGCTGATCCTCAAGTTACTCTCCTACTGTGCAGTTTATCGGACTCAATTTCAGAACTTCCCAGGGAGAATTCCGCTGTTGTTCTGAGATGAGGCCTTCTGCTCACTGGGGTAAGTGAAGGAGACCAGTTTTGACTTTTTATATCTAGAATTTTGTCTCAAATATTGGAAATCCCGCCACTATATAATAATCCATGCTATCTGGAAGTCATATCATCAGTGGAAAGGAACTAATCCCTCACCCTGGATGATGTATTTCAGTGAACAGGACATTTCATAAGATTAAACATGGGAGAGGGAGAGTAAGCACCAAGCAGAATCCCCAAACTCTCATATAACTGTATGTTAGAAAAACTAAATCTCAAAAAAAGAAAATTGTTTTAATAAATTAAATTCCATTTTAGAAAGAACAAAACTAAATCTCTATTTGCTTTTATTCTTATTTCTTAAACGTGCTGAACGAGACGGAAAACGACAGGAGAGGCTGGCGTTGCCATTTCGTTGGGTACTCACAGGGTTATCGATGTACAACATGGACAGGGTACTGCTCCAGGGGAAGTCTCGGGCACGCACTGGGGGCACAGAGAGGGGGTCTGAGAAGGGGTCGTGAACCAGACATCCCACCCGTCATGCCATGCCACAACCCCGGGTGCCCCTCTGCCAGTGGGAACAGACACCAGCACCTTCCCTCTCCTCCCCTCTACTTTTCCCAGACAGAGGGTTTCTACATCCACGACGAAGTTTGGAAACAAAACCCTGTGCAACTTGTTCTGTAGAACAGCCATCAACCACCCATGTGATGAACCCATCTGTCCCATCTGAGGGATCATCTTCATGGCCTGTCCTCCCGACCCCTTTCCTCCCACCCGGCACCAAAGAGAACAACCTCAGCCGACTCGGCACACACATTTTTCTATGGAGTCACAAGCTGGCTCACCCTCCGAATTCTAACCCAGGGAAAGGAAACAATCCCCCCCACCCCCAAAAAAGAGGTGGAGGTTAACCTGGGTTACAGCCAGAGTGGCTCCTCCTCCACGCCTTCCGTCGCCCCAGCCCCCCCCCCATGGTACCCTGCTTCCAAGATATCTGATCACCGATGTGACTGAACCGTACAGTGTTCAGTTCATATGAATAATTGAGGATATAATTCCACTCATTAGGCCCAAGCAGAAGAGCTTGCCCAAGCAGTAATAAATACCACCTGTTTTTGTGAGCCCAGATTGCTTGAGTTAGCAGCAGACTGCAAGAAAACAGCTTAGAACCTTTCACCCAAATTTCAAGGGAGAAAGCAGCCCAGCGGGGCCGCTCACCCTGGTGGCGCCTCCTTCTTGGGCAGACGCTGCCAGAAGGCTGTTTTCATAATCGGGAACTGCTAAGCGCGTCCTCGCGCTTCGACATACACTCGATTTCTGGAGCGGATAGAAGGTTCCGATGAAGCATTCTCCATAGGAAAACAGAGTCCAAGCAATACTTACTGGTCAGGTTCTTTGTGATGAAATAAGGTCCGTGTTCCACAAAGAGTCCAAACATGGATGAGCCTCCCGGGCCGCCCTGCAGCCAGAGAACCACGGGGGCGTTCGCCGTATCTGCCTGGAGGGACAGAGAGGCCAGTGACCACACAGAGCGCTAGTCCTGCGTCTCTCCCTGCCTTGGACACCCCTCCTGCAGACCTCCCGGACTGCAGGGTCCCAGACCGCAGGGACCCCTCCACCCCAGCAGAGCACCCCTCGTCTTTTGCAGCTTGGAATTCGTTTTTGCCTCATATCCCGGGGCCTGTCTTGCGCCACTGTGTTTTCTCACCACAGTCAGAAACGCTGTTGAATTCAGCAGCTCTGCCTTTGTCTGTCCCTGGACACCCAGCACACTGCCTAGGGCACAGTTGTCATTTTCTAGCTGATTAAAATGTCAAGGGACTCTTCCATTTGATCAACATATTCCCAAAGAGGCACAAGGAATCCACCGTCCTCGGTGACAGTTCGCCCCCTTCACCGAGAGCCCAGAGTGCCTTGCCGACAGGGTTCACTCAGGAGGTGTCCGCACCTCCATGCGGGACAATGGCAACTTCATTCAGCCCTGGGAACCGAGGAGCAGTGGACGGGCCGCGAGTCCTTTAGCCCATGCGAACAACAGTAACAAAGTCCTAAGCGATGTTCGGAGGTAGGTAGGAGATGGGGAGACATAAGTAAGAAGCGGTCCTCGGCGGGGTCGGGATGCTGCAGTAGTGTCGTCCTCACTCCCAGCGACGGGCTCTAACTCTCTCATTCAGCATGCATCCCCGGGCACCTCCAGGGGGCCGGGCACCATGCGGAGGGTACAGAGAGGACTGAGCGAAGAGGAAAACTCACCCTCTTCGAGCTTACCTTTCCATGGAGAATATGGGCAATGAGTAAGTAAATAAATACACGTGACGGAGTAAGAGTGTGAAAAGGAAATGAGGGTGATATTAAGAGAGTGACTAGGGGCTGAGAAAGAAGGGCTTCCTTTAGAAACCTTGGTCAGGAAAGGACTCAATGAGATCTGAGAGTTGAGCTCAGACCTGAAGGCAGAGGAGGGTCCGGCCACACAAGAGCCAGGGGACAGTGCTGAAGACAAAAGGGAACACCGGGCAAATCCTCAAGAGAAAGGAACTGGGTGCCAGCGCAGTGGGTACAGAGGCTGCCTGCACCACGGCGACTCCCGCAGAGAAGTCTGGAAGAGCCTCCATGGGGCTCAGATCGGGACATGACAGGGAGTCCTCCTGTGAGGACATGGCGCGTTTGTCTTCCGTCCCCGAGCTTGGCAAGCAAGGACCCTGTTGCCTCAGCCCGGAATAAAATGCTGCATCCCCTTACTTAGCCCAGCCATAGAGACAGCTCGGCTTCTCATTAGCAGGTCTGAGGGGATTGGCTCCATCTACCTGGATGATGTGAGAAGGGTGTGGGCAGAAGGCAAGACAGACGCAGGAGGAGGTGATCTGGGAGGCCTGGCCAAGAACCTGGAGGAAGAAACCCCTCTAGCCCCCTGTCCTCAGGGTTAGATCCTGCAGGGACAGTGGGGCTAAAGGGATTTCTCTTCTTCGGCCACGAGAAGTCGGACCTAGAGTCCTTTAGCAGCTTTGGGACTAAGGAGGCTTTGCTGAAGGAGAGGCGGTGGTAAGAACAGCCTCCCTGTGACGGGCTACCTCTGGGGCCCACTGTCCAGCATTAAGGATTTAAATGGGATACTATTTGTAAAGCTCTTGGAACAACACCTAATGCATAATAAAAGCACAATCAACGTAAATGATTATTATAACTAAGGAAAGAGAGAGAAAAGGCAGGAGCCCAGAGTCAGCCTGGGAACTAGACCAGCAAGCTGAGTTCCAAGAGTCAGCACAGCGTCATGGATAACTCTGCGAGCTCTTGCTTTAACCTGGACTCAGGTCTGGACTCTCCTCTCCTCTCCTCTTAGTTGTGCGACTATGGGCTCTCTGAACCTCAGTTTCCCCACCTGTGAAATGGGGATCAATCATAGTCCCTAGGCTACGTGGTTGTTAGGAGGACTCAATACATTAATCCGCGTGAGTGGAATACAGCATGGGTTCTGCGGATGTTAGCTATTGCTATAACAGGTAAATACTAGGGATTCATAGGTGGTGTTAAGGTAAATCAGCTCCACAAGGCGGTGATTTGGTGCTTCTTCTAGCTCCTTTGGCCTACATCTTCCCTAGTCAGTTTTTTACTAGTCAGTCCTCCGCCTCAAGTGTGGCAGATGTCCACAAAGAATTCAAGGGAACTGGGGAGTTGTCATGGAAGTTGAAGCAGGAAAAAGGAAAGTCAAAGACAGCCTTTTAAAGCTGCTGTGAGGAAGCGGAGTGAGCCCTGGACTTGGGAGCCAGGCGGGTTCTGCTTCTCCTTGGCCACATAGCTGTGGGGTCCTGGCCCTCGGTCTGCCCATCCATCCATCTTGCAGGCTCTCCCGAGGGCCTGATGCAAAACGCATCCTGACATGCTACTCTAAACTCTTCTGTGCTGCATAAATATAACCAGCTCCAACGGCATGCATTTTGTTCGAATAAGTGATTTGTATCTCTTCTCGGATCCTCTAACTTGCTCTTCAATCCCAGGCCCAGGACCACCTTCCATGTGTAGTCACTCAGCAGTAGAAGGATGTCAGAGGGGGAGAAACAATGGAATCTGGGTGGAATTAGTTCTAGCCCCCAGGAAATGAAATCCAGTGTTTCTACCCATGCAGTGGACATCCAGCACCTGCACCCCAACACACGCACTTCCTTACTTCTCAACGGGCACATGAGCTTCTAGAACCCAGAGTGGGCAACGTGGGAGCCTGTGGCTCTCAACTGTGACTGTCCACTAAAGTAACTTGGAGAGCTTTTCAAACAAAAACAAAACAAACACGCTACTGCCTAGACCAAATCCAGAGCTTCCAAATCAATCGGTCTGGGGTGAGCAGACATCAGTCTTTTTCAAAGCTCCCAGGTGGTTCTATGTGTAGGCAGGGCTGGGAATCTGGGAGGGCAACGGGAGGGTTTGCCCTCTTAGATGCCCTGGGCACTCTGGTCTCCACCCTGTCCTCCCCCGGCTTTCATGTCCCTTCCTGTGACCTGGTACAATGAGGGAGCTCCCAGCTCTCAGAAAAACAGCCTGACCCTGAGAGGCCGCACTACAAAGTCAAGTCGAACACCTCAGTGCCAAACATCATTATTATGTAACTTTGAAGGCCAGACACTGCATTCTTGGAATGCTTAAATACTCCGAGGTCTGCAGGGACACCTCTCACCTCAGCTGACCCTGCTCCTCAAATGTACTTTCCTGAAGGAGGTGAATGAGCTCAACAACCCTTGAACAAGCCCATTTTTAAAGAAAACTCCATGCGCACCTTTCTTCCTTGATGGGCCAACCGACCCATGAACTAATGCTGCCCTTATCCAGACTGAAATGCAAAAGTCAGATGCTGGAAAAGAAAAGTTTGCATGTGCAATGCTAAAAGTCACAGTATGCAGACTTTCTTAATATGATATGACATTGTAATGTAATGACATATAAAAATACTGTCTATAAGAATGGCATAAAGTTATTATGTGATAATTCTAAGATGATATATTTAGTACATCACTTAGGAAAGAATAAAAGTAAATGAAAATATCCTTAACAAACCTACATTGCAACGCTTAGGATCAAATGAAGTAAAAACAAAACAAAACAAAACAAAAAACCTGCTTTAATTCATTTACAGTTTTTACAAAATTTACGACTTTTTAAGTATTTATTGTTTCAAAGCTATAATTCAAGAGCGTATGAAGAAAGAGAAATAGGGCATTGATTTTTGTCAAAGTTAGAAATTTTTTACTTAAAACTTTATCACAAAAAAAGTACTTATACTTAACAATTTTTTTTTTTCCAAATAGGGTATAAAAAGACTGCCCTTGCCACACCAATCCTGTCCCTGGAAGATGATTCTGAGAATGTTTAATCTTCCAGATTTTTCTCTATGCATATATATATTAGATATTATGTATACTATATACATAAATAGGTTTTGTTCCCCCAAAAAATAGGATCAGGCTATAAATAATACTCTGTATTTACTGTATTCACTTAAGAAAATGCTGTGAAAATTTCTTCATGTCAGCACATGTCATTATTTGGCTAAAGATTATGATACTCCAAATTTGCCACAATGTATTAACTCACTAAATGTATAACACAGACTACTCATAGGCATTGTTCTAGAGATAGGGATGGAAACCAGCTCCTACTCACAGACAGGCCAGATCAGAATGATTAAGAGCGTGGATTTTGGCACCAGAGTGACACCGTTTTGACACTGTTTTAATTAGTTATTAATAATAGGAAAGGAGCAAAAGGGGAAATCAGACATTATAGGCATGTCATTCAGGCAGCTTCACCAGGAAGCTGCAACTTTGTACTCCCCGGGGAACCACAAGCCCATTCCCTGCAAAACACAGGGGGAAGGGGCCTAACAAAGGGAGACAAATGCATGTGCAGTGAAGTTGGGGTGATACTGGAACATGCTTGCTGTCAATCAAACCTGGGGACAGAGATCATGGGCCAGAGTAGTCAGAGCCACTGCAAGCATGTGAAAATTTAGAAATACATAATCCCCTAAACAAACAAGTTCACTCTCTTGTGACTCCAGGCTCTCTTGTTACGCTTGGCTCATGTGACTCTTGTTGCTCATTACTCTAGGCTCATGGGGCTCTGTTGTCCTGCTTCCTTGTATTCACCCATGTTTCCTCCAGAGCCATGTGGCCCTATGGACCCCATATGCAACGGGCTGATGGACTGCAGTGGGAAACACAAACTAAGCTAACCTGATGCTGGACTAAACCGGCTCCAACATGGAAAGAAAAATCTGGACACTGGCTCTGATTTTAGCTCTGCTAAAGCCCCAGCTATAATTTTCCTATGACTAGATAAAGGGAAATGGGACTTGGAAACTTAGGGATGTAATTCCACAGAAATAAAACTCACTCATTCTCCCATACGAGTCTCAGAAAATTCTTTTTTTCGGGGGGGATATTGCAGAAATCCACTCCTGCAAGCAACTGGCGAGGATGAGAACCTTTCCCCACTGGCAACAGTTTGAAT